GTCGTCAAGCACTGAGAAAATCAATGAAAATTCATATAACTAAATGTAATGCTGGTTTTGAATTAGTTTCATCAAACACAACACATATTCGTGACATCACTTATTTGAGTGATCAATACTTAGACAAACCTATTGCATACCACCACCGAATATTGATAGTTCAAATTATTATTCACCACTACATCAAATAACATGTTCCATATCCAGTAACTAATAAATATATCTTATGTAGTGGTATTAGGATTGTGTTGAATGTCACTCCCCTGATATTTCTATTTACCACTACGTATAAGTGCGTACGGTGATCTTAATAGGTTCACTTTTTGTGATGTACAAATCTACCACATCAGAGAGTAATATGCCGAAATCACGAGGCCGATCGTCCACTTTCGTTTTTTTTTTAATGCATGCAATGGCGTTGGCGTGGTCGTTTTATCAGTTCATAGTTCATCTTCCGTTGCGTTCGTCTCGTGAATCATGAATGGAATAAATTTCATTTGCCCATGGAGTTTTCATCAGCAGTACATGTGTATAGTGTGAGTACCTACTTAACTACAAACTGTGGTATTGTGACGTGTGAAAAGTACCTGATAGTGGTAACTCGTAGAGTTGTTACTGGTGTTCAACAGTAGGTAAAATACCTATTCGTTTCATCTTGAAACTGAAATGACAGGTGAATGTTGCATGCGTTATTGAGGAGACCAAGAAAATCTCAATTTTGTTGCACACAGAAATCAAATTTACACAATAATTCGATTTTTCTCTCATTCTCAACTTCATTCATATACTCTGACAACTATCTCTACTATCTACCTAATTGTCATAACATACCTGCAAATTATTGAGATTCTGTGATATTTTCCAGTTTTTTCTTCAAATAAGTATGTCCCTGACGGCGGTAGAAGAATATTGATTCAGATTTTGAACAGACAAAATTGAACAGACAAAAATGAACGAATCTTTAAGTAGAAATCACTATTTTGTAGTAGTAAAATTGTTTGTAGTGGTAAATACGAACCGACGAGCTGAATAGTATTATTTACTCATTTGTAGTGGTGAATAATAACCGTACAGGTAGGGTCCCTAATAACTGGTGCTTCAGTATGTCACCTTGCCTCAATCATACTATTCTTTAGTGGTTATATTTGATTAATGTAGTGACTGGAGCCTATTTAACCTCAACGCTTGGTAGAGTATAGTGAACCTTAGGTATTTACAACGGATAATTTCTCTCAGTGAGGCTAATACCGGGTATGTCACGATATAGTGAACCTTAGGTATTTACAACGGATAATTTCTCTCAGTGAGGCTGATACCGGGTATGTCGAGTTTACAATATCATTATATCGAGAATCAGTCGGAAGAAATCCATGAAAATGTGCATGCTTTTATTCCCGAATACGCTCTTTTCATTTAAAATATTTTCGACAAGTCAAACATAAGGATATCATAAACGCCTTCCATATTGGCAAACTCAAACCTAAACTAATCAGCAATAGAGGGCAATAGTAACTAAAGTGAACACGATTAGCAGTACATTTGATATTTCAAAAAAGATTTATTTAATATGTACTTATGATCTAAAGAAGAGAGAAGTACTTAATATTGACTTGATCTTTTCTTGTAGACTAAACAATGAACATGTGTTGAAGTGTTAAAGTTATTTTCACTTTCGTGGCGTATCTCAACCGACAATAATCAACGATGTGAAAATTTCCTTAAAAATCACCATTTTGCACATAATTTTTCCATTTTTTCCGGGTGAGGGCTCCCGGTCCCATCCCTTCGTGCCCCACGATCCCAGGGCCCGCACCGCAGGTGAAGCCTAGGGCCTCTATTTTCTGAATCCGGCCCTGACTCTTCATTGCATTATCTTAAAATTATTTCATCAATAAGATACCAATTTGATTCAGGTGCTTTCTAAATGATTAGTCACAAAATGATAAAACTGAGAATGGAAATAAGAATTCGAATTTCGATTGATTTCCAAAAGTAGTTCTTCCTCATTTTTCGATCACGGACAGTCAAGGCAGGTTTTAGATTTTTTAAGGTCCTGAGCTATTTGAGATGAGCATCGGAACAAAATAATGCTGATGCAGTATACCGGGTGTCAACGAATCTATTAGACCAACCATAACCATAACTAGTATGTTGAGGAAAAAGTGTTTGCATATTTTTCACATCCAGGTTACTTCCGGTTTCACCGGAAATGGCTCCAGTTTTGCATTTTTGAATGGAACACCATGTGTATTGAAACATTTTTGAATTTCTAAGATAATTGTGGATCAGAATAGATATGACAAATTCAGAAATTTTTAAGCCTATACTCAATTTTTTAGAGTCACTTTTAATATTGCATCTATAAGGTGGCCATGATCTCAGTTGATATCAGAAAATTATAATATAAACGAAATACAAGTGACTAGCATGATAGATAGGAAGAAGACAAGTTGACAAAGTTACTGTTTCGTGTCTGTCTATTCGATATGTCGATTTTAAAACTAACAAAATTTCAGCCGTTCCTGAAAAATCCTGAAATTCATCTTGAAAAGGCGGTACCCAGTAGAGTAAGGAAATTATGGACGTATTTCCAAATTTATAGACTGCTTTGAAGTTGTTTTCAACACTACCAGTGACCAGTTGTGAATAAGCAGAGCGTTCATTTTCAAAATTAGTAATAATGAAAAACAAAAATATAGAGCTGTAATGACATATTATAGAAAAGATAACAATCTCCGATAATAATTTCGATAGACAGTGATTTGACAAACAGTAAATTATGATGGTGCATTACAAGAATTGTCGAGAAGAAAAACCGAAAGAGAAACGGGCCGCAGGGGCCCCAAGAATTATTAAGCTTACGGCCCCAGAAATCGTAGATCCGCCACTGACTTCTATGTTCATCACCTGTTCAGCTTCTCGTTCTTCACGAAGGAGAAATCTAAGTATAGGAGCAGGCTGATAGAACGATACCTCGTTCACTTTAGTCATAAATCATCTCACAGAATTTCATTAATTTCGTATTTCATTCACGTCGCAGAAAAATTATGAATGTATTTCCTACTTCCACTGGCTCGCTATGCTGAAATTTCACAAAACAAAACAAAGCAAAGAAGAACATGACGCGATTGTTGTTAAGTGCTCAAATTCCTAAACAAAACATGAAAACGACAAAAGCGCGTGGATTATTTTGAAATGAATTTCTGAAAATCCCTCTCCAAATATAAGCGAGCATTTCAGTTAATACTGTATTACAGTTTCCTGGAACTAATTATGAATGCATTTATTCGTTACTCTTCTGGTATCTTTTGAATTAATTCTTGAATATCTAAATTCTGGAACATAAAATCGGACAATTTTGAAAGAGAAATATCTACTTTGTTTATAATTACGCGTCTGAACTGCTATTCTAAAAAGACTTGTTTCTACAAGCGTGCATGATTCACCCTATATATACCCGCACTCATTTTAGTTTGGAAAGTGTCATTTTCCCGCAGTAGTGCGGGAAAAGTTTTCCTACGCTAGAGCGGTAAATGTTTTCCCAAACTAGTGCGGGAAAAACATTTATATCATATTCTCGCAAAATATGAGTGGTGGATGACTAATATGAAAATTTTAGGTTTTTTAATGCAGTATATAGTAAGTTTGTACAAAATCATCCACCAAATTGCACTATTTATTGTGAGAATGAGGAAATATTGAAAAATAGTAATTGATTGTTATATAAATCTCTCTATAGCCTTCAATTGATCTGATGCGGGAAACAAATTGTTGTCATGTCAATCGAAACACGAATCAGTTTTTCTACGGCTATAACACAAAATTGCTCTCGTTTTAATGTGTTCGATAAATCAATGAGGTACTTTGTATGTCATCAATGTTATTCCCGTATCTGATATCACAATGACTCCACTGTGTTATTAATTCAAAAAAATCTCATCGCTCATGGAATCTCAAATTTCAAGCAATGACAGCTCTGTCTAACAGAAGAGCATTACTTAAGAAGAAATCAGATGGCTACAAGACAAAGAAATAAAAAATGCCGTTGTTTTCTGATACAGCCGTAGAAAAATTATAGTGTATAACCCGCACGAAATGCTAATTTCATCACTATCATTCCGTGCGCGTTGAACAATATACAATAGTTTAATACTCATCAGAGTGACAGACAGAGCGTTACTGTCATTTTCGATTCAGTGGAATCGTGATGAAAAACTTCCAGCTACATATGCGATACAGATGAGTTCATGAAAATATTCACAGTATGGAGAATATTTCGTTGAATTAGTCCACGAAGAAATATAAGGATCATAATAAAACATGTTGCAAGTTCAATTTCCTTAATTTTGATTGATTCACTGATCTTCCTATATATATAGAAGTTACAACTATATGAAACTCAGTATCTATCTCGGTATCTATAAGTATTCGATGTGTTCATCAAATGGATTACTACTCCACCGGTTATATCAACAAGGTATTCCGTTAAAATTTTGTAAGGGAGTATTTCAGACATATTTGAGTCGAATTATCTTTTCAATTTTTCGATGAAAAAAATTGCCTAATAGTCGTTTTTGAAATTTGTACTCATTCATCAAATAATAGTAGGCCTTGAGAATCTGAATATTTCAGATTTGTCCATATTTTCGAAGAGATCTATTACATTACTTATCAAATTATTGTTTTTGAAAATCTATCAACGGACTCTAAATAAGGAGGGTGTTGTGAGTTGGAATCGCACACAATCAAGAGCAGGGCCCAGCTCGAAGATCAAGATCTAACTGCCTCTATATCCACCGCAATACCATAATCAAGAAATTAAGAGCTTAAATAACGATAATAATATAAAATCCTAGAAAAAAACACGTGACAAATCTTCATCGATTTTTGTGACACAATTCTCCCATTTCCTCTAACCGACTATTTCATTCATTCCGCTCCACAAAACAAGATACAGTTTCCCGATTCATCCCGAATCTCACAACAGACTCACTCTTTACCTCGGTCTGAGGATCTTTTCTCCTATATATCCAAGAATCCCATCAAACTTCCATCATTCTAATTCCTCCTGGTCACTTCTCGCAGCCGATGCGATTGCTCGAGAGAAGAGTCACTATCAGTTATCACGCAATCTCGATTCACGGCAGCCTGTCGTCGAATTGTCTCGAAACGTCGACGCTTAACGTCCCGACGCGACTGATGCAGCGTCCAAGCGACGACGTCTCTTCCCGCTCCCTCCTCTCTGGATACACCGTGCCCGAGTCGGCTATCCAGGGATACGAATGGAAACAGTGTGTGGTTGGCCCCGTATTATTCGTATTATTCGAATATTATTTCGAAGGAAATATCAGAATTATAATTATTATGCTCTAGGTCTGGGAAGAAATATCGATATATCGATATATAACGTCAAAGATATCGACCTTCAACTTTTCTATAGATAATATAAAAATTTCACAAACGATGAGGTTTTCACAATAGTATGTTGTGCAACAAGTACGAAAAGTTCAACTTTTCTCACGAGTGAGAAAGTTTGTGACACGCGCCTGAAACTCATTCAAAGAATCCAAGTAATGTAGCTTATTGCATGGTTTTCATTTTATAATGTGGCACTATGCCAGATTGAATATTGTGACCAAAGAGTAGACGCCTTTCCTAGTTCCTCAAAGTATTTTAAGAAAGTACACATTCCTAAAAGACTTTATTGCTGTATTTTTTTAAGATTCCATGAATTTTTCCTTTATGCCAATTCATACTCTTTTCTTGGAATTTCCGTAAACAAATCCAACTTTCGCAGCTTCTTCCATTATCTCTGTCTCTGGCGGTGTATTTATCAAAATCGTCACATCTCGGTATACAGTCTGTCCAAGATAAGGTTGAACAGCATGGGGATCTCGAAAACGGTAAGAGATACGAAATCGGTTGAATGGGGAAAAAGTTGCGCATTCGGAGGCTCATATCAAGAGCCTTCGAAAATTTTGAAAATTATTTTTAGTTTTTGAGTTATATCGAAAAAAGTGAATTTTTGGAATTTCTATTTTATTTTTTTTCTCCGTTATTATTAGAGATACAGCAAAACTGAGAATACTTTTTCATAGCAACTTTTGATGACGGTCAACGTGGTGATACCGATTTTTTCATGCGACGTTTCGTATTCGTGGAACCATCATCAACTTTTGTTTTTTCAATACGGTCCTGATAATTTTTTCACAGATTCTAAAAGGTTTTTTTATTCTGAATTCAACCATGTATTATACAAGGTGGTTCAATTGTGTTTCGACCTATTTCCATCCATCATCAATGTTTTTTCGAAACTCCAAAGGGAAAATGCCATCAGTTCCACTTATTCTGAAGGAAAATTAGTCAACACACTAATACATCATCAACTGGTTTCAATCAACAACCCATTTCATTTTGCGGAAACAAAAATTCCATCCATACAAATTCAGAATATGTCAAGCGCTAAAACCAGGAGATGACGAAAGGCGCAAGACATCCTGTGAGTGGTATACCAGGAAATGTTAAAATTTTGCAGATTTCTTTCGAACAATCATCTGGACTGATGAAAGCATGGTCACTAATCATGGTAGCTTCGATAGAAAAAATACACATTATTGTTCACGAGAAAATGAACATTTATACATTACAGCGAGACACCAACACCGTTTCGGCTTTAATATGTGGGTTGCAATATTTGGTACACGAATTATTGTTCCTTCTATTTACCATGAAACACAGACTTCCGAACGTTATAGAAATTCGCTTGAGAATCATCTTGAGGAAGCTCTGGATGATTTACCGATTGCGGAAGTTCAGAACTCTGTTGGTTTCAACAAGATGGCGCTCCGGTACATAATTCCAGAGAAGTCCGTGCGTTTTTATCCCTTGGCCGGCGCGGTCGCCTGATTTAACACAGCTGGATTTTTTCTTAGGGGATATATCGAACTTTGTACACGCAAATAACTTTGAGGATGAAGAAGAACTAAGGGACAGTGTCTTCGAAGCATTCAATAGAATAACCCCAGAAATGCTTAGCAATGTCTTAGAAACAACTGTGAGAAGAGGATATCTTTGTTCAGAAAATAATGGTTATCATTTTGAACATTTGTTATGAATGTCTCTGTAGGTATTGTCAAAGTTAAGTTGTTTAAGTAATTCGTGTAAGAATTCATCAACAATTTTAAACGCTGCATTGATCGAATGATGTAGTGAAATATTTTTTATTCACTTTTCAGTATTGAATAACTAATCCATCAAGTTTGACACTAAATGATGGAAGTGGAACTGATGGCTTTTTTCTTTTGGAAATGGAAAACATTGATGATAAATAGAAATAGGTCGAAACACATTCCAATCACCTTGTATAGTACATTGTTGAATTCAGAATAAAAAAACCTTTCAGAATCTGTGAAAAAATTATCAGGACCGTATTTAAAAAACAAAAGTTGATGATGGTTCCACGAATACGAAACGTCGCATGAAAAAATCGGTATCACCACGTTGACCGTCATCAAAAGTTGCTATGAAAAAGTATTCTCAGTTTTGCTGTATCTCTAATAATAACGGAGAAAAAAAAATAGAAATTCCAAAAATTCACTTTATTCGATATAACTCAAAAACTAAAAATAATTTTCAAAATTTTCGAAGGCTCTTGATATGAGCCTCCGAATGCGCAACTTTTTCCCCATTTAACCGACTTCGTATCTCCTACCGTTTCCGAGATCCCCATGCTGTTCAACCTTATCTTGGACAGACTGTATACATCATATTATTTATTATGAATTGTTGGAACAAAATTTGATCAAAAATGCGATTTCTATCAAAAGCACTAATGAGAACTACTCTAAAGAATTTAAGAAAATCCTTCTGACAGTTGTGACAACTATTCAAAGCTGAACAGCAGCCAAGATTTGGTCGATTCTCGTTGATTTCAAAAGACTCAAAAGACATGTAGGTGGCGCCACCCCCACGAAAGAGGCAAACTAACATAAAATTTGATATTGTCATTGAAAAATACCCCTAGATACCAAACTTCATTCGATCATCACAATTATTTTGTAATGTATGAGCAAAAAGCAAAAATGAAAATTCAACTTTGACACTCTGTATCTCAGAAACGAATAACTTTCGGACATATATTTATACGAACTTTTTGATTATTTTGACGTCAGCAACATGCTTCTGAATTTTTTACACGTACTCAAGAAACACCCTGTAAAATATGAGGATTTTTTAGAAACGGTTAAATTCATTCTGAAAAGTCACTATTGTTTTATGTTCAATCAGGAATTGTTTTCTTGTACCTTCTATGTAGATCAACTCGTATAGTCACTTGTATCGATTTTCCAATGGATGCAGAACCCTTGTAATCTCATCTCTCGAAAGTCTTTGCTTGAATCTATCCAGGAGTTGTTGGTAACAAAGTAACGAGCACTGACATGGACGAAATGTGACGTTCGGAGTTATTGCCTCTTTTCTAGACTGCGTATACTTGATTTGATTGTTCGATTTATGTCTTGATGAAAAAGTTTCCTTCGTGCCAAAGAACTTTCAGCTCCATTCATGAAATGATCTGTATCAATGGTGGCGACAGAATATTATTTTCTTTCTATAATGATTATCACAAGTAACAGACTGGTCAAAATTCGTCGTTTCAAATTTTTTTCTAATAAAATTGAGACTGGCAAAATCTGAGTTTGGTAATAGAACTGCCGTTCACATCACAGACCAGGGTGATTGATTTTTTAAACAAAAAATTAATAGTGCGATGAAACCCATTGGAAAAGGAAAAGAATATATCAAAAATGAAAGGATATAGTAATTTTTCTAACAAGTGCGGAAAGTGAGAATGTCCTGTACGCAAATGCTGTTGACCCGAACGACGCAAATAGGAACAACTAACAATAGTGATATATTCTCTAGCTTCTAATAATTAGTGATATATCTATTGTGTGTAACGTTTGAAGCATTATGTAGGTAAGCTTATTGCGGAAGCCAGCATGCCCATGGTGTTTGGCCTCTATGTTTCAGACATTTCTAGGAAATGAGCCAAAAATACTTCTTCTTTATTTGGTGTTTCCACTTTTTTACTATTGCACCATTCAATAAATCCCGTGTAGTACTTCTCATACCTTTCTTAAGACTTCGTTGGTAATAACTCATCTGTATCGCATCTGTAGCTGGAAGTTTTTCATCGCAATTCCACTGAATCGAAAATAACAGTAACGCTGTCTGTCACTCTGAGAATCACACTAATAACTAATTTGTGTTTTGATTGACATGACAAAAATTGTTTCCCACATCCCTATAGGGGGATTTATATAACAATCAATTATTATTTTTCGATATTTCTACATTTTCTCATCGATCCTGAAGCTGAGGTTACCATTTTCTCCGTTGAAGATATGGAATTCAACGAGCCAGGATCGTCTGGCCTTTGCCCAAAAAAATTTTAGTACCTAAGTAGATTAGGCCTGCAGGAAAAACCACATTGAAAATGTTCTCTCTTCGGTTATTTGATAGTGAATTTATGATCGCAGTCACATTTTGTAGAAAATCATCCGATTTGTCATCACTACATGCATCTATGATTCATGGTTAGAAAGAGAAAGCAAAAACCATAGCCGAATATGATTCTCATTTGAGAAAAATCTAACTTTCAGTGGAAACCCTAAATTTCACCATTTCTATATCAATGCATCTAGATTATAAAAAAAGCCCTAGTGAATGTTAACATTATTTTGTCCTATACAACCACTATAATCAAACGCATTTGTCTAAAAGTCGAGAAGTCAGACTTCTGTTTCTCCATCTTGAAAACCTAAGACGATAATGAGTTTCCATTTTCACTAGTAAATTTGTCTCACTTAATCAGTTAAAGAAAGAATATCGATAATATCGAAATGTTTGCCCACTTTATACCTAGTTGTTCTTGGACACAATTATACAGGGTGTTTCCTAATTGAATGTCAATATTTGAGGAGGCGATACTTGGACCCATTTTTAGAAGAGAATTTCATGTGAACTTTTGAGATACACGGTGGTAAAGTTCTCAAAAATAAATTGTTTCTTATTAATATCTGTAATACCACTTCAGAAATTCTGATGATAATTTCGAAACAAATTTGATCTCTAAATTTTTTTCAATCTGTTTTCCCTTGAAAAAAATAAAAACCTCTTCACTATATGAGCATAACAATATCGTTAATAAATCGCTATGCAGAGATATATATTTTATTTTTTAGGTGAAAACAATGATTCGGACTGAAACAATTCAAGAGATCAGATCCAGTGGTATTACTGATATTGATAAAAATAGTTATTTGTTTAACTAGGCAGCAAAGTAGTAGACTTTGCTGCCGAGTTGAACATATAATTTTTTCTCCGATTGTTCATAATGATATAGGAGGATATCGTATTTGCAAATTATTACTATTCCCACATTCTCTTTATTTTTTCTGTAGTGTTCAATTAAAATAAAATTTGATAGAGATCGCAGTTGTTGGAATGGTTGGTTGCTATGGAAATGTCCATAAGTTGTGCGAAAAAATATCGGTATATTTAAATTATTGTATAATGGACAGTGATAGCGACCTGGAAGTGCTTACTCCTCCAGAAATAAGGGAGGTGGCAAACAATATAGAGTTGAATTTGTTGCCGGAGAAGTATCGGATGAAATATGAAGGAAATTATAAATGATTTATGGATTATTAATTTTGCTGACACATATCAATCAGCAAAGTAACCACTTTGCTGCCTAGGCAGCAAAGTACCCGCTTTGCTGCCTAGGCAGGAAAAGTAATACTTTGCTGATTGATACGTGTCAGCAAAATTAATATTTGCTGCCAATCGGAGAAAAACTATTTATTTTTGAGAACTTTACCACCCTCTATATCTCAAAAGTCAAGACGTTTCGGTCATATGAAATTTTCTTCTTGAAATGGGCACAAGAATCGCGTCCTCAAATATTGACATTCAATTAGGAAACACCCTGTATGAAGGCAGAGATTATGAAGTGTATAATCTCTGATATAGGAATTCAATCACCTCTCTCAAGTTTTTCTTGTATGAATCGTATAAATGGGACAGTCTTCCTGATTTTTTATTATTCCACTCGAAATGGCAGTATTCAATACACATACCTAAATTCATATTTCTTCCTAGTGTTAATATCATAAGTAAATATTCAAGACATATTCTTTTTTATGCTGGAAAGCAATTTATTGATTAAATCTTGAAATATACAATCAACACATTTTAGTGAGATCATCGGCATTTCTATTACAAACACATTTTATAGTTCCTGTTTTTCGATCATATTCTCCCAATAATGTTCCACAGTGTTTGCAGAACAGCTCCAAAACACTACCATTCGGTATCAAAAACGGTAGAAAGCATATTGGCCAACATGTTAACATGCAGAAAGCTCCTAAAGATGAATATGCTACCTAAAAACAATAGTAAGTTAAACATTCAATTGGGGTTCTTGTATGTATAGGGTCTTCATATGTATACGAACAAAACTCAGAATTATATGTACATCAGGTGGAACAAATGATTGGAGTTCAAATAAAATCATTGCTCATATAGGTTTGCCTCATTTGGAGGTATTTGCAAATACCTCTTTCCACTTCGGAATGGGTTTTGCAGGTGATTTCGATTCTAATGATATTCCGGTCGAATAGAAATTTCCTTTGACAAGTGCGGTATGAGATAAACTTGGTAATACTGGTCGAATTTCTTCTCTAGGAGACATTGTATAGCTCTTTCATCCCTAACAAATCTAAATCTTTTGCATATGAATAAGTAAATCATAAGCAATTCTTCATAGTAAAACTTCACAAACGATAAGATTTCCACAAAATTCTCAAACACACGACATGTTTCGCTAACACAGTAGCTTCGTCAGGTGATATACTGACTGGCACAATGAACTAAACTAACGTTGGCTTGCTTAACTTTTATATATCTTACTTTCCCAACCTGGAGGATTAGTTACCTGTGGACAGGTACGATAAACCTTCATTTTCGGAAATTATGCACAATATCTACATTAAAATGCGGTGTACCGGATTAACTTGAAAGAGTTGATAGCAAATACATATTTTTACTTACTAAGAAAACCGTATTATAATGTAGATATTGTGCCTAATTTCCGAAAATGGAGGTTTATCGAACCTGTCAACAGGTAATTAATCCTTCAGGTTGGGAAAGTAGAATATACAGGGTGTTTCAAAAAAACCTGACCCCCTTACTAGGGTAGGTAGAACACTGCAGAATAAGTTGGATTCACTCAGTAAAAAAAATTCGTAACGGCATCCGTTATCAAGATACAAGGTGTTGAAAAAATGATTTTTATACAAATTTTTCACGATTATGTCGAAACTACTGGCAACATTGTGATGAAATTTTGTATGGATGTTTCTTGAAATCTGACACATTGCATGCATTTGTTTTGATACCTGACTCTCATAGAGGGCGCTAGTTACACGGTTCGTACCGAGTAGTTTTAAACATAACTTTTTTGAGGTTAGATTTTTCAATCCAGATTTGATGTGAACTTGAACATCATTCAATTTCATTTCAAAAAGGTACTCTGGTAAAACTCGATACTGTGTTCCGTTTTCGGAATATTTCGATCTGAAAATGATGAAGTGATAACTGTTGCTGGTATAAAGCTATGTATTAGAGTGAGTATTATGAAAAACTATCACCTATTTATTGAAAACCGAAAACAACAATACATTTCTGATTCTAAACTTATTGATTTAACAATGAATCACAAGAATAACATCGAAACAGAGTTGACTAAGAACATGGATTACACAGTTTTGTTGTATCTTGAGCAGAAAGTCTATGCTACATAGGTAAATTCACGTCAGGAGCTGTGAGACATAATTGAACATCACTTAAATGACCTAACAGCTGATCCTCCACTGCTCAGAAGAATAAAACATTCTTAAAAAAAGAATATAGAATCGTATATTCCTCGAAACGTAGGACATTTTGAACACTTACTCTGACTGATTCAATATTTCATGTTCCTAGTCAAATATCTCTTAATTTTTCACTTATGATTCTTCGTTTCATCGATAACTCCAACACAAGAATAATTTTATTGTTTTTGAATCTGAATAAATTGGTAATTGAACTCAATAAAATTCATTTTATACCAGCATCATTACTACTCCATTATTTTCAAATCGAAATATTCCGAAAATGGAACATAGTATCGAGTTTCACCAAGAGTACCATATTGGTGTAAAATTGAATGATGTTGGAGTTCATATCATATTTGGATCGAAAAATCTAACCTCAAGAAAGTTACGTTCTAAACTACTCGGTACGAACCGTATAACTAGCGCCCTCTATGAGAGTCAGATATAAAAACAAATTCATGCGATGTGTCAGATTTCCAGAAACATCTATACAAAATTTCATTACAATGTTGCCAGTAGTTTCGACAGAATCGTGAAAAATGTGTAAAAAAATCATTTCCTCAACACCTTGTATCATGAAAACGGTTGCCGTTACAACATTTTTTCGCTGAGCAAACCCAACTTATTTTGCAGTGTTCTACCTACCCTAGCAAGGAGGTCAGGTTTTTTTGAAACACCCTGTATAAGCAAGCCAAGGTTAGTTTAGTTCATCGTACCAGTATATCACCTGACGAAGCTACTGTGTTAGCGAAACATGTCGTGTGTTTGAGAATTTTGTGAAGATCTTATCGTTTGTGAAGTTTTACATTTGCCATGGATTTCCAACAAGTAACGACCGAGTCAATTCAAAATTCTTCATAGCGTATAATATATGGATGTATAAGATGTATATTTCAAAAAGTTTACAATAATATCAGTTGGAAGCCCATAGTACCCAGAGTGGAATGGAATTTTTTAAAAAAAGGGAAGAAAAGCTTGAAGGCATCTCCTTAAAATGTATGGTTATGATTTTCCTTCCTTCATATTATATATCAGGGGTTCTTCAAGAGATACAGGTCAGCAATATCCATGTTCTCAGAAAGCAAGTCTTCAGCAGAAAACATAAGAACACGCATTCAATAATTTATTAATTCATTCTATATGTATTTCCAAAACTCGAATTTTCTAAATTTCATCTCTATTATCCTTCCAAGCTATATGTATACATGCTTATATTTGAGAAAGTGATTCTTTTACTCATATTAGGAAGAAAACTACATATGAACGTATGTCCTAAAAGTCTTAACTTTTGAGACACAGGATGATGAAGTTTTGACAGATATTCAGTTCCTTGATAATAACTGTGACAATATTGTATACATCTTCATGAAATTCAGTACACGTCTTTTATGTATCAAGGTGCATTTTCTGATTTACAAAAATTTGTATTTTGTCTACAAGTGGCTCCGTTACGGGAATATTATTGTTTACATTTCACTTAAAAGCGAGCGACGACGGAAAATTTTCAAATTTCGTACAATGCTATGAAAGGCTATGCAATTATATACAAAAAAGATTCCTCTTGTTGATACTTGATGGCACGCTTGGTTTTAGAGAAAAAACGGAAAACCGAGACCAGAATTCAAATTTGGATGTCTGAGTACTCCATTCTGGACATCCATTACTGGATAATCACAGTATGTAACATTTTGAAATTTTCATACCGATTCAGTCACATGACAGCCTGCATTTTGCCATCACGGAAATATACAGGGTGGACAAAAAAGAATCTATGCATATTCTCAACACTGACACCCTGTATCCCAAATTTTATGGAGTTTAATTCTTGAAATGTGTCAAATAATCGGCCCCTCGAATATTAGCATATCATTAAAGGGCACCCTGTATACGTTGTGTTATCAACAGAATATTCGAGACAATTTCACTCGAATTAGAAATCTCATATAATTTGACCAATCACAAGCCAAAGACAACTTCCATATCATGAAAACACTAGCTGTCTTTCAATTCTGATAGGTCTATCAGCGTTGGTGTTGTCAAAGATGTGACTGTATGGATTATGCATTGTCGATCTAAATGAAAACCTAGTAGGCGACCTAGTGCCAGGAGGTTAGCTCCTGCCTACTAACTACCTAACTAGGTTGTCATCTAGAACGACAATGTGACAAATCTATAATATGAGTGTATTAGCCAAAGAAAGTAATCAATTTGCACTTGGATATCAAAACAGCTATTTGTCTATTTTGAAAAGAAATAGCTAGAGGTTTGAACAAGAATATTATTTATAACTGAAATTGTTGTGAACTTTCAAGTTCCGAGGCAACACGGAAAATAATTGCGCTCACCATGATAATCCATTTAATTCAAGTGGATTTATTCAAGTTGAAAATATAATTTCAAAATAGATTACTAAAATGATTGATGAAGCACGCAAAAGGATAGGTAGACAACCTTCGAGTTTGTGCTGTCGTCATAAAACTTGCTCATTTTATCTATAGGCACGAACACAGTGGAACATTATTTTTCCACTGTCCACCTTCGCTTTGAAATCCATTTATCAAAATACCTCGAATTTTAACAAAGACAAAGCCACAAAATGATCAAAGTGGGATGAAATGATGGAAATAAATGCGAGAATCTCAGTCATGTCCACAAATGTTCATAAATGAACTAGATTGGTTGATAACGAGAAAAAACAACTACTTAACCGGTTATATGCTACACAGAACAATCAATTACATCCTCTCGGAATCTATGCAATGATTCGTATAGACGATCAAAATCGTTCAGGAAGGAAACACTTGCCATTTTATTTGTCTATACGAATTATTGCATAGATTTTGGTAGGATGTTATTCAATGTTCTGCCCTGCATTTATGAACATTTTTGTGGAAATTACTTTGAGTTTCTCGTAATTATTTAGCTTGAATTTCTTTCGTTTTCAAGAATAATTCATTGTACAATGAATACACAAGTGGTTACGAAAGTGGATTCATGTAATTCAGGCTAACTCTAGTGCACAATAGGTAGGTATGAGGTACTCATTTGAGAGTACAATGGGGAAGACCACTGATTTTTTAAAACGACATTATCGTGAACTCTATACTGAAAAACTACCAGTGAATTAATTTTGAATTTTTTCATTCATGCTAAGACGATGAAAAAAATAAATTAGTATATGTCCATTTCAAAACACACAATTCCTGCGCCATTTGAAATTTCTTCAATTCATTGGTGTGACTGGTGCAACGTCTCAGTCCCAACACGCCTATTGTCCTTGAACTGACCAATTACACTGCAACACTGCAGAAAGACGAGGTATCAGAGAGAGATAGCTACAGTTCGGCACTAATACGTCACGACTCCACCATCATATTTGGCTGTTTGAAATATCGAATGAAATATGCTGATTTCAAAACGATATAGATTCGATTCCCTTCAACTTCAACACATAATATTGATTGTACATAAAATGTAAATCATGATTCGTCGATTGAAAGAGGTTTGCA